AGTTATCAAAATGGAAAGTTTGAAAATCAACTGCAATATCTAGACGCAATTGGCAAGTTGTATATTGACTACAATTTTACAACAAAGGCGTCAAGAAGAAATGTATCCATTCATGCAATAAATGCATCACAAAGATTGATAAATGAAATGGATATTATAATGCAAGAACAACAAAATGTTACTTTTGATGAAAATGGGACAAATTTAAATATATCAACTATCATTGAACCAAGTTATCAAAGTGAAATTGATTTTGAGTCAACAATAAAATCAATACACGAATACAATTCAACAGTACAATCAATTTTTGAAGAAAACAGTGTTATTACATTGGAAAAAACAGAAGGAAAGATGGAAAATGACCGAAATTGCGCCAAAAGTGGCATTAATACTTCAAAGATAAAATCAAAGAAAACACTAAAAAGGAGAAAAAAATTGACTATATGTCAGAAATTGAACAAAGAAAAAAACCTCGAAATCACAAGAAAAATATTGATTAATTCAGTTTTCTATTAAAATAAAAAGCAATTTTAAAAATAAATATTCAATTTGCATAATATAATAATTATGTTTAATATAATACCTTTTTATTATGTTTAAAATTTGTTATGAATATATACAAGATATTATATTTATAATCAGAATATTATAACAATTCAAATAATTAGAATGTAAATCATATTTATTTGATAAGATTAACATAAATATAAATTCTAAATTGTTTTAAATAATATTATTAAGTATACATTTTGTTTTTAATAACACCTATTAATTATATTTTTGATAATTTCTATTTTTATTCAAACGTATGTTTGTTTTGTATTTTACAATTTTACAATATTAATAACATTGTTTTCTAATTATAAAATAAAAATAATATTTAGAGAAAATATATATTTTATTGTTATAAATACAAAATATTTTGAGGGTTTCGACAACTGTCTTAGTTGATAATTGTCAAAGTTGACAAATGTCTTTTTACCCATTTACAGAAGTTCTTTGAGGTCGGGGGACTTTCTCGAGTTTCTCAAAAACGAGTATAAGACTGTTCCAAATCTGACAATGACTACAAAGAACACGTTTGAAACTCCAGGAGCAACAAACGACGGAAACGAAAACTTCATTTGTGTTGCTTCGGTTAGTGCGTGCAGCCCCGACAAGAAAATTGTCGATAAGTTCCTGTCAACAAACATTTTTGCGAGTGAAATATCGTATAACCCGACTGGTGGAAAGATGGACGAGCTTTCTAAAGTGTGTAAAAAGCGCACAGTGATCATTACGAAGAAGAGTCTACCATCAGTCTTAGAAAGAGAACCTGTTGTCTCAACCGAGGAAGTGACTCTTACTCCAATTCAATCTAACACGGACGACATTGAAAAACAGATCGAAAAGGTTGCTTCGTTGATTGAAAGTACAAGCACTAACACTGGGAAGATCTCACAACTTCAAAGACAGTTGATGGGTATTTTGTGTGCGAATGTTAATGGTGGTGTATTGGCTGTGTGTAACACCTTTTTTACAAAAGAAAATATCAAAAACTTCGGACAAAACGACGTGAAGAATTTGTATGATTCGATTCTCCGTGTTGTTGATTTGTGTAAGACTGGACTCCGACTCCACAAGTCCTTCATGAAAATCGAATTTTCTCGACTGCAAAATGTGATGGAGCTTGGGCTTGTTAATATTGAAAGAACACTGAGGGAGTGTGGTGTGATCATTGACGCATACATGCAAGGCGAAACAGAACCAAATCAAGAGGAACCCGAGCAACCTGAACAACAAGAACATCCTGTCAATTAAATTTCTTTTATTGTTGAAATTTTCATTAGTTTGATGGTGAACATTAACACTTTCACAACCCAAAACTTTTTTTTAAGAAGAAAAATAAGTAAAAAAGAAAATTGTCCAAATCATTTTTTATTATTTTTATTCCAAAACCCCTTTCTAACCCAAACTGGCCAATAGTCAGTTTTATTTTACTTAAAATAACTCAAAAATGAGAACTCAATTACCTAAGATTGGTCAAAAATAATCTTTTCGGATGAAATTTCATATCGCTTTATCGTGTTTCAAAAAATTTGTTTTGTGTATGAAGGCAAAAAAAGGGTTTAGGTAAAAGAAAAAAAAACTTATTATTATTACGTTTCTGTTTTGAACGTGTTAACTCGAAAAATAAGTCACTTATTATCAGAGTTAGAAAATGAGCTTATTTGTGTCTCCAATATTTCTGAACTCTTGAGAATCAACTGCTTAACAACACCACCAAGCAACTTCTTCACTTTAACTTGGTTCAACGTCAGTTTACCACAAACCCCTATGTCTAACACCCGCACCACTCGCTCATACCCAACTACTTTGAGATCACCACATCTCGAAATTTTGATTTCAAGGTTTTCTGATAGAATGCTCACTTCCAAGTTGCCGTAGATGGGCGGAACTATTTGATTTTCCGTGAACTTGATTTTCGCACTTTTAACAGAGTCTTTGTCACAATGGAACAAACAGTCGCCATAATTCTCAACTTC